TCAATTACCCGTCGTAAATGAAATCGTTTACATTATTAGAATCATGTCTCAGGTCCGCTCAACTGTGCTTTTGCGATATGTTTCAACAGCTCAGCTACTGGCCCGTATGAATGTGTTGTCCAGATTGGTACTGGGCCCCATCCGACATACAGTAAAGGCGAACGTTCGCTTCAATTTCCCGCCCTCAATTACCCGTCGTAAATGAAATCATCTACATTATTATAATTGTGTCTCAGGTCTGCTCAACTGTGCTTTTGTGATATGTTTCAACAGCTCAGCTACTGGCCCGTATGAATGTGTTGTCCAGATTGGTACTGGGCGGGGCGTGTGCGATGCACTGTAAAGGCGAACATTCGCTACAATTTCCAGCCCATTGTTTGCAGTTACAAATTGCACTTCAGCCATGCCGACTCACAAGGCGGTAGCTAATCATTCAACCCAGCAAGGACTGACTCTCCTGAATCACCGTCAGTTATTATTGCAGAGGGGTTCAACAATTTGTTAAACACAAAAATCCTACAACATTTCAAGCCCTCGGCACCTGTCTTAAGCAAGGTCAGTTAGGTTATTAGAGCAGTGTTTCTCAGGTTGGGACCGGCATGAAAAATGGCCCATACAAAATGTGCATTTATCAAAAGAAGTCGCATCGATGCCCTGTTATTATCACACTATATCTATCCCCGCAACTACATCATCAACGCGCTGCTGCCACTCATCGGGAACAGTATCCCCAATCACATATTCTTCCGCCGCACCGTATGTAGCTCGATCAATCTTCAGGATTTCATTGAATGCCCTGCATAGAATGTCAGCTAATTATCAATGAAGAAGAATGAAGGGATGGTAGCCCACCTCGCTGTTTTAGAGGCCGAGGATCCTGCTCTTGTTTGGATAAATTCAAGGCGTGCATCGGTCAGATTCCAAAAATTTTCGCCACCATTGCATTCGGCGTGAACCGCACGCTAAAATTGCTCCAGTTCAGAAGGCAATATTGTGGACAAAGGACAAGAAGACACTTACCATGAGCGCAACACGGGAGCACAGCTGGATCGTCGTGCGACAAGGCGTGGAGTGAACAATCATCTGCGCAAGCGAAAATATATTGGTATTTGCCTTTATACTGTCTTTAATCTGTATAACAATAAAGCGTAAGCGCTCCATTGCTCCATTGAAAAGAGGAATAATATTAATACACATACCAATTTCTTCACTCTGGCGCGGGTTTGAGTTAGTGAATAACCGACAAACGTTGATATCTTCTCCCAGTTGGCATAATCGTGCTCAATGCCCGCTGGCAAATCAAAACGATACCTCTTGAGAATATCCTGTAGGAAGATTAATTGCAACATTCCTGTAATAGACAAAATACGGACAAGAACATGGTTACGAGGGATGTCGCCCTTATAAGCACTGACATTGACGGAAAGCAAGACGGCTATGCCATAGTTAGTGATATTGGTCTATTATATAAAGCAGTTTAGCTGCGAGACACTGGGGACAGGATTGACACATACTTTAAGCTCGTCAGATAATTGGTAGGGTGGTGCAGCTGATCGGAAAGTATCGATTTTGTTTTCTAAGGACAGGATGCATGCAAATAACTTGGCCTGTCGTCCAAGCACCGTGTCCTGGTCGATGTTTAGACACAAGTGCAAAAGATACGTTAAAGGAGTACTCACCAACAAGAAGGCATCTACCTCATCACGTTGCTCGGGACGAAGCTTCTTCTTCGATACATAACGTAGAGTCGCAGCTGCTACATTGCTAATGGAAGGCAATGATTGAGGCTGCGTTGTCGAAGGGGGTCCGTCATCAGGTTCAGTATCATTACCATCTGTTGAACCATCGACTTGACGCGTTCGCTTCCCAAGAACCGGTTCTGGGGTCGGGCTTGACCTCATCATGGCATCTTCCATAGCTTGTTCAGCTGGTGAAAGGAAGATAAAGGCCTTC